ACTCTTTCCAACCAAAGCTGCAGTTGTACCAGGAGGTATTGCGAGAGAGAAGCCATTGAATATTTTCTCATCAGGTCTTGCTGGATAACTGAAATGAATATCCTTCAGTTCTATATCTCCCTGAATATCATCTAGTGTCCGTCCGTTGCTGTTGTAAGAATCTATTTGTGACTTTCTATCAATTACCTCGAACAACTTAAACGCTGCAGTTCGCCCAGCAGAAAATGCACTTATACAAGAAGATGACTGTCCTAGAGACCTGACAAACCAATAAATCAAAATGATTTAAGAAATAAAGTAAAATTAAAACAACTCATGAGAGATTGATCTTTCAGAAAAATGAAAAAGATGCAGACTGCAACTTACATGGAGCCAGTCAACACTGCAAAATTTACATTTATAACATCTCCTCCATTATATCCGTCATTCAGAATCATTTTAGCACCAAACCATACAGCCAAAGCGTAAGTGGAGAATACAATAAGTGCAACCACACCAAAACCAAATCCTATAGCCAAGCCCTCTTGCACTCCAGTTTTGACAGCTTCGGTCAAAGACTTGTTGTATTGAACCACAGCTTGCTTCTCCCCTGTAAATGATACAACCTGCGTTGGAAATGGCCATCATGATCATGATTCTGAAATGAAGTGGCAAAGAAACTATTTCTTATCCAATTGCGCATACCGTTCTGATGGAACCAATTGACTGGTCCACGATATTTGCTGCACGTGCATAAGCAGTTTGCCCACGGGATGCCGTCTTTGACACAGTAATGGCCATGACGGCCCCAGATAGGACGAGAAGGGGAATGGAAGATGCCATGACAAGAGTAAGTTTCCATCCCTTAATAAAGGCTACGACAAAACCTGCGGTGAATGTTGTAAATAGCTGCAAGAACTTTCCCACCTGCAACAAAAATTAACAAGTAAGATGATACATCAGATTCTATTTACTAGCTTATTTCTAAGAAAATATATGTCAATACCTTCTCACCCATGGCATCTTGAATTAGAATAGTGTCACCCGACATCCTCCCAATAATTTCTCCTGTATTGGTTTCGTTATCGAAGAAGCCGATTTCTTGCCTGAGAATGGCTCCCAAGTACAAATTTCTTATTCGCGTGGCCTGTCTCTCCCCGGTGACCATCCAACAAGATACCTCTGGTACAAATCAAACTCAGGTATTTCAGTTCTCAATAACAACTTTTTTAAGGATTAAGCCATGACTGGTGAATAATAATGTGGACTTACGAAGGAATGCTGCAACCATGGCACCAAGTCCCAAGTAAACAAACTTCAGAGCTACCTAAGGATATGGAAAATATGGATGAATTACAGCTAATAATGGGTTCCATGACAGGATAGGAATTCATAGCGATCATCTTCCTTGAGGAGATTACCAGGCAATAGGTAAAGTTGGGTAGTATTACCAGGCAATAGGTATATGCAGATAGTATTAGCAAGAGCAAGTTCCTTAAAAATTCAACCAATCCAAATCACAAGTAGTGGTTAATATCCCTTGGAACAAAATTTTCTACACAGAATATTCACCCTCAGGCTGCAGAATGTTAGTGTGGATGTAAGGTCAAGTTAAAGAACTTAAATATATATTGAAATTTCATATGTATCAGATGATGCATCGATATGGATGACTTGAGTTGTTGGCAGAATATCGTAGCTATACCTGGGAAACTTCATGAGTCACTTCTTCAATGTTCGTACTAGTACTTCCAAATGCATTTACTAGTTGCCCAAATATTATCGTCATGGTGGGCATGCAGGTTCCATTTCCAATTGCAGCAATGGTGCCGACAAACATTAATAGATAATCTGTGGGGTCAGCAAAGGAGAAAAGCTTGTAATATGGCACTACATTAGTGCTTTCCTTTTTCTCCTCGCTCTTTTCTGATTCTTGTTGGTTATCATTCTTTTCTGGATGGCTCGTTGTTGCAGCAGCCTGCTCAAACTTTCTATCTCCTTGCAAACCATTTTCATCAGCCATGTTGTCTCAAATGATTCTTTGTTATAGTTGACACGGGGTGCTTTGAAGAGCCTTTATGGCCGGATTATATCTGCAAGAGAAACAGTATCAACTGCCTCAATTGCCAAATTCTCGATAACAGCTAAAAGATGAATTCATTCTAACAATGCTTTGACAAATCTTTATTTTCTGGAAGCCTATATCTTCCGAAGCACTATTGAATTTATTGAAAAGAAATGATTTTGATTTGGAAACAAAACACTGCTGCTTAAATCCTAAAAGTCAGAAAGGGAAATTATGTGAAGGTTGCCGCTGCTTAAAGCTCAAGCAGACAGGTATTATGAGAGCGGTAATTAAAATAGAATGGAACCAAGCTGATTCTAAATGCCAGAGAACCTCTCCTGCCAAAAGATTCGAGGAAAACTTTGAGGAAAGGTTTTCAAACGGAACCAAGAGGCAAACCCAAGTAAGAGAAAAGAAAACAACAGTCAAGACCAGGTCAGGTTGCCACAGTCATGTGATCGGCACAAATTAGTACAATCGCAAGTCAACAAATTAGCTAGAATTCATAACCCACGTTGAAGAGGAGAACCTTATTAAGGACTTTAAAATGGCAAGACTGGAAAAACTCCTTGCAGACCTCGAGGCTTATATGCTTATTCTTGACATGTCAGAAGAACTGAATGAATGACCTCAATTCCACACTCCCCCCGTTTTACGACTAGATTAACTTGGATGCCATACAGCTTGTAGAGAAAACAATTCTTCACTAAGAGATGGAACAGAAGAACAACTAACATTGGTGCGAAGGTATATGAGATCAAAATGTGGAATTTGATGTCATCACTTACCACTTTTTCAGCCGATTCAAGGAGCGTGAGCTGGGTTGACACTGCATTTGTGCTTGTCCCTTGCTGTTAGATGAATCAACCCCATTACTGCCATCCTTCACTGACTCCACTTTGTAGGCAACATGGGCTCTATCAGAATATATATGCCAGGTCTGAGACTATATGGTTGAATTTTAGCTCGCTAGGTTTTCAAGATTGAAGGAGTCATTTTAAGTTTTACGAGTAATATATTCAAAGTGTAATATCAGAATTCGATCACATCCTGTGTCACTAGCCATTGTATTCTAGCTTGCTTCATATCTTGTCTAAATGCTTCTGACTACGTTCGAAAAGACGATAGCTAGCTACCTGGGGGACCGCATTATATATATATATATATATATATATATATATATATATATATATATATATGTTGATTGCGAGCTTCCTACACCCTCACCATTAACACTATATTTACCTATCTATATAAAGAAAAAGACTGGTTTGGAAATTGTTCTGATCATTGTCCTACATTGATCATAGCACATGCATGTCAGTTGATGCCCTCACTAGTCCAGCCCTATATCCCTACATATTATATATGAGCAATGGAGTACTGCACAGGAGCTAGCTAGGATACGAGAGCAAATGATATTAAGAAAAGTATTAATTAGTCAAGAAGACATGGTCTGTGAGGGAAGAGATACGGCAGCGATGAGGCCAGCAGATTCGAAACTGGGATTATTCAACGAATTAGCATATTTTTAATGCCTATGCGGCCAATAGCATTGTTGCATCCCATCGTCATCAAAAGATACAGCATATATAATGAATTCTTAATTTTAATTACCATGGAGTTAAGCAATAAATTTGCAATTCAACTCTTTCTCTGTAGCCTCATTTGCAATAATCTAGAAGCCAATTTAGAACCTTGGATTAGGACATTAAAAAAACAAAAAAAGAGAAAAAAAGCAACACTCATCAGGATTAAATGGCAAATTCATGATGTCTTCAAGTTAATGACTAGCACATGGAGGGAGTTGCCGGGTTTTGAAGCCATGTATATGGGGAGCATGTGCCTGAAGAAGCTCAACGAGTATTTTCAGGAAAGGATAAAGAGAACCTGGCAAAGGTGAAGCCAGAAACATTCCAGCATCGCCAAATTGTTGTCTTTTGCGTACAACAGAATTAGAAGGAGAATCTGACCTTGTTGTTTGTACGGATTTCCTACTGACCCTCAGTCCTTTATTATTATTATTAACAATACTCGCGTGGGGACATTACTGTAGTTGCCCCACGCCACTTGCTTTTATTTTTTGTAAGATTTTTTTTTTTTTTTATTAAAAAAAAATTATTGATTATTTTATTATTAAAATAGTTGAAATTTTGTTCTGTAATTTAAAAAAAATATTATGAATTATTATAATGTTTCTTACATAGTTTTTTTATAATTTCTTTAAATAATTTTTGTAAATATTGCTTTATAGTTTTTTTATTTAAAACATTGTACATTGTTATAATATTTTTATATATGATTTTTGTTTTGTTATAATTTTTTTTAAATTATCTTTGTTAAATTTTTTTAATATTGAGTTGGTTGAGAATTCAACTTTAAATTTCCCCACTTGTTTTTTTTTTCCAAAATTTTCTTCCTTTTGTTTTCAATTTTTTGAGTTTTTTTTTTTAGAATTATTTTTGTTGATTTTATTTTTTTTAATATGGAGCTAGTTGAAAATTTAGCTTTATAGTTTTTTTTTAAATCATTGTGGATTACTACAGTATTTCCCCACATGTTTTTTTATTTCTTACACTTTTTTTCAGAAGTTTTTTTGTCAATTTTATTTTTTTTATATTAAGCTGATTAAAAATTTAGTTTCGCAGTTTTTTTCTTTAAACATTGTAAATTGCTACAATATTTCCCCCACATAATTTTTTTTTTTATGATTTTTTTAATTTTCTTATCAATTTTATTATTTTTAATATAAAGCTGCTTGAGAATTACAATTGTAGATTTCCTTATGAAATACTATAGATTGCTATAATATTTCCCAGCATAATTTTTTCCTTTCTTATTTTTTCTTGTTATGATTTTTTTCCAAAATTTTCTTTGTTTGTTTTATTTTTGAAATATTAATCTAGTTAATAATTTAACTTTATAATTTTTTCATTGAAAACATTGTAGATTAGAGTTGAGCATTTTCGATCCAAATAAACAACCAAATTGAATTTTTTTTAGTTTTGGAACTAAACCAAACTAAAAACTAGTTCAAACCGATTGATTTCATTTTCAATTTGGTTTGTTTTTTTTCTGTCCAAACCTCTTCAAATCAAAATTATTGCAACTGAGTTTTTTTTGAACTTTTTATTGACCATATTTTTTAGCACTTTGTTTTTATAATTGCTTTAATTTTCCAGAAAATCAACTTCAATTTTTGTTTTGATAGATCCTCTAAATTTAGGAAAAAATTACACAAACAAAAAAAAAAGATAACCTCTGTTGCAATGCTTTCTTTGCAGTTAGATTAGCTAGTTCTCTCTTTTTTATTCTTCAAGGCCAATGAGCTTAGGGTACCGTTGCACCCCTTCAATTAGAATAGATCTTGATTTATTGTCCTTTCTTCCTTGGGTTTTGGAATTTCCTGAAAAGTGTGAAATAAGATTGGTTAGAAGTAAGAATCATTGGAACTAGATAAAAGCCAATGCCAGTTCTCGAATATCTAACGAAGCGATTTCAAATACTACTTATAAAATTTTGTAATATAATAGCCTTAAAACTAGAATTCTTAAGCCTTTCTTTGCATATTTCTTTCATATAAGATGAGAAATGAGAGATAGGAAACACGGAGAGGGGGCGGCTAAGAAAGTAAGAATGGTGATTTGGATCTAGGGTTAGAAAATATGTTATTTATTCTTTTTTTTTTTTCTTTTTAAGAGCTAGCTTAGTTGAAACGGGCCGATTCAGTTCCATTTAATAGGTTCAGACTCCAAAAACCAAAATTGAACCAAACGAGAAATATTTTATGATTTTCTAATAGGTTTAATCAATTTTTTTCATAGTTTAGTTTTCTCAGTTATTTTTTTTATTTTCTCGATTTAATCAGTTTTTCAGTATTTTTATTCACCTCTAATGTGGTTTGCAATAGTTTTTCTCATATAATTTTTTATTTTATATTTTCCACAAATCTACGACAACACACAAACATACCACAAGCCTATAGCATTGCGCAAGTATGACATCTATATATATATATATATATATATATATGTATGTATGTATGTATATTCACTTTAAATAACATGAAAGACATTGTCTTTTCTTTCAAAAATTGTTGTCTTTCAAAAATTGTTGGTCTAGCTGCCAAGGCAAATCTAAAGCTATTGGGTCTTGACTACCCTTGTAATATTTTGAATAAATAAGTAGGAAAATATAATCATGATATAATTTGTGGAAATTACAGTTTAGTCCCCAAACTTTGGAAAATTTACAGATTGGTCCCTGGGGCATATTCCGAGATTCTGAACAGAATAAAAGATAAATTATGGGCAGAATTCCTGTATAGTTATGAAATTTTAACACTTTCAATTTGGTCCTTCAATTTGACAAAAATTACCGTTTAACCCTAAAAATTTGATAAAATTCCAGAATGGTCCCTGGCGTATAATGAGATGATCTGGACAGAAATGAGGATTGGTTATGGTCAGAATTTCAGTATATTCATGGATTTATGATAAGTTTAGTTTGGTCCTCCAAATGGATTAAGTTACAATTTGACCCTTAAAAATATAATAAATTACAGATTAGTCCCTAGCTGTAATATTAGATTTTGCAGATGGGTTAGTTAGTGAAGTATTACCAATTTTATTATTTATTTTATTATGGATTGGATTTTGAGAAAACTATTAATTTTTGGGTTTTTGGAATATAACTAATTAGTTCAAAAATATATAGGGTTATGGAATATATCCTTAAATAAGTGTATTAAATAGGTTATATATTCTTTTGAGTCATTCTTGAATATGTCTTCTTTGTATTCAGATAATCCTGATATTCTACCGGCAGGACGTCAGTAGGATTTTCTTCGGTGTTTGCTTTTGCTTTCTGTTTGCTTTCGAGTCAGGTGAGTGGATAATTTTCCATATGCATGAGAAATATTATAAATATTTGATTTGTTAATATGAATTGAATCATGCTTCTTGGTAATATATTTGGTGACTAATATCCTTGTTATGATAAGCATGATCATTCGTTGAATCCGAATTCTTGATATGAACCAGTATGTATTTTGGATTGACTTATGAATTGATAGCTCCTCATTTGATTGATGTCATGAGTTGAGCCTTGAGATATGAATATGTCTGTTTGATTATGATTATGACCCTATGGTATGTCAGTCAGAATACCCATGCTAACAGGGTAATGTTAGTCTTTGTGCACATCGTATCTGAACCCTAGTTGGTCGGGGGAGTCACCAACCTGTGTGGACTGATCATCCCACAGTACGGAGCCTCATGCTCATTGCATTTTGATTTTCTGACGATTTTACCATATGATATTCTTGTTATGGCCTATTTGAGAAACTTTTTTATAAGAACCTAAATTCATACTTGTATATATATTTCTCATTGTTGTATTATCTCTTGTGTATATATTAAATGTTATCTACTCACTGAGTTGTTGAACTCACACTCTCATTATTTATCATTTTCAGGCTTATAGC